CATACGCATACGCATACGCATACGCATACGCATACGCATACGCATACGCGTCACACCCTGGGTACACACGTACCGCAAACGGCCCGTAGGCGTATGTTTGCACAGAAATTGGAAGACACTTTCCGCTTCTTAACCCATACGTTCGCAACTTGTCTTCCTTCGGTCTGCTTCCTACCAACAGCTAACTAGAAAAATGCCACGGAACAGGCGAAAAGCTAAATAATTTCCGATCGGAGGAAAAATGCGAACGGAGCTCATAAATAATTTGCAAGGGGTAACACATACCGTGCTCGCAACCAAGACCACGGCGCGATACGTGCTGCATAATTGCGCGTACTAGCTGCTTGAACACGGTTTTTCTACATGTATTGTAATTGATCGTTTCGTATCGACCATGTTAATCGATGCAATCTAGCAAGTATGCGGGCAACTAATTGAAAGAAATTGAAAGATTTCATCGGGGAAACTGAAAGTGAAAGTGAAAGTGAAACTGAAACTGAAACTGAAATTAAAGGTATGTTAAATGTTTGTTTTGCAGATGAGCCATCCGGGAATGGAGAGTCTCGATATGCTGGACCCAGCAAATTCGATGACTACGTTGACGCCAATGTCGGAGAATACCGGCGGCGGGCCCGGGCACCACCCGGGCATCCACGGGCCATCCGTGTACGGGGGCATGAACGGTATGATGAGCCACCACCATCATCACGGAAATCTCGGTGGAGGAGGAGGCAGCGTGCCACATTCAGCTCACCATCATCCAGCCATGGCTGCAGCCGCGGCTGCGGCGGCCGCCGCCGGGCTGCATCCGGACGCGGACACGGACCCCCGAGAGCTGGAAGCGTTCGCCGAAAGATTCAAACAGAGACGCATCAAACTGGGCGTAACGCAGGCTGACGTCGGCAAAGCCCTCGCGAATCTAAAGTTACCAGGCGTTGGGGCGCTCTCACAGTCGACGATATGTCGATTCGAGTCGCTGACACTCTCGCACAACAACATGATCGCCCTCAAGCCAATTCTCCAAGCCTGGCTCGAGGAGGCGGAAGCCCAGGCGAAAAACAAGAGACGAGATCCCGACGCTCCGTCGGTTTTACCCGCTGGGGAGAAGAAGAGAAAGAGGACGAGCATAGCCGCGCCCGAGAAACGATCCCTGGAAGCGTATTTCGCCGTGCAACCGCGACCATCCGGCGAAAAGATCGCCGCCATTGCTGAGAAACTCGATCTCAAGAAAAACGTCGTCAGGGTCTGGTTTTGCAACCAGCGACAAAAGCAGAAGCGCATGAAATTCGCGGCCCAACATTGACCCGAGGGTGGCTTGTGACAGCAAAACTGACCGTATCAGTTGCCCAGTCTCGAGCCTAAACCAGAACCCTTGACCGAGTTTCAGGGATGGCCGTAAAAGAAAAACCGGCAGACGAGTGGATAGTGGACAAATGATCACCATCAGCTCTGCGAACAACCAACCGCTTCGATACTGTGCCGACCAAGTCGGCAGAGTCGTAGTCGTGCCACAATGTCTTTTCGGTTTTCAGTGAGTTAGAAATACGGTAGCTCGATACTGCGGCCAAATGGGCGATAGTCAGACTGTCACAGGCTTCAAATGAATATACGTATACTGTGGTAATTGCGCGCGTGCGTGATGTTCTCGACGCGTCTCCTGTGGAATGTTCGATCGGCAGAAACGATTCTTGGCTCGTCGACTCGCGAGTCTCTTCTCTCGAGAGCTCCGGTTCACTTGTGAGTAACTACACATATGAACACATAACGCCTTACAGAACGATATTCATCGGTTCAGCTGTCTTTACTTTGTCCTACGTTCTACGATCAGCTCCATTAGCGTACCAATTCTTCTTTACAAGATTACAACACTGAAAACCATCTTCTCGAATACAGATACTTGATTTCGAAGCTTTCGCTTGTCAACTACTTTTCTCGACTCTATATTTCTCCCTCTGAGTTTATAATATTTTCATGTTTGATATTTAAACAAACATGTATATGGTTCGAAAACGTATAAAACTAATAAGAAAAAACGTCGATGCCATGGAACTGGCAAAACACTGTTCATATCGCATAAGAAGATCACATGAAATCGGGCGAAAGTAGTCGTGGAAACCCTAGATCAAATCATCTCGAAAGCGAGATAGAATTTGAGGAGCATATCAACTGCGATCGCGATAAAAGAGTTTACGAGCGTATCCACCCTTGGATCGGCCTCGGTGGACTCGTTGAAATCGTCGTTGATGCAGATTTCATAACCAAAGATTCTACCAAAGTTTAACAAAATTTCAATATATCTAAAATGACGTGTCTTAATTACTTGGAATATTTTTTAAGCATTTTCGTTATAAGCTCACCTCTCGCCTAACAACTGATCCAGCCATTAAAAACGGCTTCGGAGATATGCGTATACGCATAATAGTCTGCTATATACACTTTTTGACGTAACAGTATTAGTTACGTCGACCTCATCTTACCTCACCTTACAATTCAAAGTACGTACTTTTTCTAAACGAATACTATACGACATATGTATTTACCTGAATATTATTTTTCCTTGAAAATGGTCTATCACGTACGCATGCATTTTACTTGTAACGTATAAAAACGGCTACATCAAGTGATAAAATTAAAAAGATTTGAATTGTATACAACTTTCTTTGTGATATTAATCGAGAAGAGAAGAGAGAAGTCTTCGCCGTCGAAGAAGAGCCAATTACAACGAAATAACGTAAGGATCGTCGACGCGTCTTGAAAAGTACAATTTGAAACGTAAAAAGTATAAAAGTACGTATTGTTATAAAGTCGACGCGCGAGTATGTCGCGCTGAAGAAATAAGTGATATTAATCCTAATGAAGACACTCGGTGCAGTGTAAAAAGTGAAAAGCTAGAGAAGGAGAGAAGAGTGTATGCGTGTGTAAAAAGTAAAATTGAAACATCGATATATTTATTACTAGAATAAGGTTTTTACTCGAATACATCGATCTCTGTGATTATTGTATGTTCGTGGAACGCCATTCCGTAAATATTTACTTGCCGTTTGAAATTTCATCAATATTCGTGCAAATCTTGAGGATTCGAGAGTGTACAAGTTTTATTCCATACGGTTAATAGTAATTTTAATAGTTCGGTATACATGTATATTATAATTCGGTATAAGTTAATTGAAATTTTTGCAGAACGCGGTGTATTCACAACAAACATCGGTAACTTGGATTATCGACTCTGAATCTCTCGTACCGAATTAACGAACAAATTGCGTACGTACGTGTACTATTTATCGATGCGATACATGTTACCCTTAAAGAAACGATATCAATCACTCGAAGGTGATTTGAAAGCTTTGAGAACCGAGGAAAAACTTTTGTTTCGTAATCGCTATAAACGAATGCATTTAACTCTTGGACACGATTCATTCCAGTAAAATATATCGATGATTAAATTGCGCGATATGAGAATGAATGAAATGATGCGAGAAATCATAATGAGGAAAAAAAATAAGAGAATGTGTTACGTAGTGATATTGGACAATCAGTGAAAAGACTGTATCATATCATATTGAAGCAATACTGTAGTATTAGTCGAGGAATTAATGAAAAGGTTATTTGTATTCTTCGTGATCGACCACGCGTTCCCGGTGCACTCAAAGGTCAACTTTGCGCGAAACGAAAGGGAGAAACATGTCAACAGGAAATAACTTTTCTTCTCGAAACGAACCAATTTCAAACTGAATATTTTCGAAATAAGACGTCGCGTGCTTACATTCGTATGACATTGGGAGCGCGTTTGATCGCTCGACGCAAGAACAACTACCCGCTGTATTCCGCGAATGGGCCTGATTTATTTTTCTTTCTCGACAATTTCGCTGTCTCTCGATGACAACGAAATTCGATCAGCGTGGAAAAGGGTAATCCCCAACCCCATTCGTGCACGAAACACTGCGTTCGCGCACGCGTGGCGCACTTGCGCGAAGCGCTCTCGTTTTTTAAAAGCATCGTGCACCCGAGGCGAGGGGGCGTAACAGCCGCGATTCAGCGCCGTCTGCGGAATCGCAGCTTAAAAGTTGGTTTTCACGTGACTTTGAGTCACAACTTTTAATGCGGTGATCCCGAACGTCACAATTGTCATCGTGAAACCTGCAAATGTCACGTTCTCGTGATATTTCAATCGCAAACGTCGCATTGAGAGTCGTAGCTTCGCGTCACGCGAGAACGAGCTTTAACCCTTTGCGGTCCTGTATCGAGCGAGGCTCGACGAAAATATACCGATATCAGAAAATCTCGACCGCAGAGGGTTCAGCGTCGATCACGTATTAACCGCGAACCAGTTTCTGTGCCGAAAGATCAAAGAAAGAAAATTCCAAGGCACAGACGAGCGATCGTATCCATGTATTCCCGTGCATCGAGCAATACCACGAGGATATTCGGTAAAGAAAGCGATAATGTCATTATAATAGTTGAGAGTAAGCGGAAGAATGGTAGTAATTTTGAAATTGTACATATATAAGAGGATAGGTATTTTCTAGAAGAATAATAGTCTATTGTCATTCTATTAGTTTATCGGAAGAAAATTCTAGTGCAATATAGAGTTTAACGACATTTATTATTATTATTATTATTATTATTATTATTATTATTATTATCATTATCATCATCATCATCATCATTATCATTATCATTATCATCATCATCATCATCATCATCATCATTATTATATTTGTTATATTATCGATTGTTTTGTCTGTCAATGGAGTTTTATCGAGCCAAAATGATCGCTCGTATCGGTTAACCTTGAACCTACATTCAAAACATTATTCCACTTGTGTTCGGGATGCTTTTTCTCCAGCCGTAAACGATTATTATCATTCGTAGCAACATATGCATGTTCGCACGGTGTGCGAAGTGATTGAAAAAGCGATCGGTTCATCGCAATACTCGAAAACATTCTAGTTCCATGAGTAGGTATCGTTTCAAACTAGCGGCCAGTGGCAGAGTTTGTCCTGACCATTTAGTCTCATTCGCGTATCGATCTGTCCGTTTTCCTTCGATAATTACAGTGTTTCCCGTGCACGATTCACAGTGTGCAATTACTGTGATGCTTCGAAGTATATAAATGTCGTTTATTTATTTGAAAAAGTAATAGTTGGTACAAAAACGGGAATCTTGAAAAGAATAAAATGTTTTGTAGACACTAACGACAGGGTAACGAGTCATATCGCAGTATGCTTTTAACGGTTATTATTATCGTAATGTACACCTAGGAGCCTTGCTGTTTGGCGTGAGTAGGTATATGTGCCGTAACATTTTCCACGCAATCCTTGGTGATCTTTAAAGAAATCGTGCACCTATTTAAGGAGGAACAAGTGAAAACTCTAGTCCACTATTTTGCATACGTGTATAATGTATATACAGTCATACAGTCGTCGAATGAAGAATCGAAACATTCTGACGAATGAATAAAATGTTGATATATAATCTTGAATATTTTCGGATTTTAAGTTACTCGTATACGGAACGGGATTCTCGAAGAAGCATCATGTCAAACGTATCGAATATAAAAGAACGTGATCTTTGTTTGTGTTATGTAACGCTACGATTAAACGATAAGCGGTGTCATTTTTGAACGATATCGTAATCGTATCCATACACGATTAGAAATATAAGAAACTTGAACCTCTTTTTCATGCATTCTGCGTGCCAACTACTTCGAAGCAACGTATACAATCTCGTAATAAAACATACATTATATTCAGATGCATGTACAATCCGGTATGTCGTTGAACTTAACGATAAGAAACATTCTCGAACTTTTTACTCGTGGATAAATCTGGGTGTAAACCTTGTGTACATATATTCATACGTATACTCGCAATAACTGCAAACTAACTCGTATTATATGGACATGGGATGATCCATAAAAGTATAACTTCGTGTTCACGATTGGTTCGAAGCCCTAATTCCGTTTATTCGATTCCGAAAATCACCAAGATTTTACATTTGCATTATCGTAAACTCGCAACACTAAAATATCAAATATTGTACGATACGCTTCGATCGTATGGATAATTTACTATATATAATTTTGGTGGAAATGGACAAATCGGTGTCTACGATAACATGGGGCCAAAACAATCTCTTGCTTTGAAATCTTTCAAGTATATAAGTTAACGGTAAATAAGCCTGTGATTACCAAAGGTTGCTTGCTTGGATTATCCTATCTTAAAATTGCGTATACTTGACTCGAATTCTCCAAAAATGCAGGACAATTGATTAGAAGAAATTGTTTGAGAAGGTCGCGTATACCTACATGCGCGAAAGTCAAAGATTCTTGTGTATATACGTGCATACGTATCAATTATTTATTTCTTATTTGCGTGGTAAATTTTAATTTGAATGATCGCGCGCAGTTGCGACGATCATCTCGGATACTAGTCGAAAGCTGAATTAACGTTGTAACCGACAAAGTATTACGTTGACAAGTGCGACTACGAAGAAGGTTTGTATAAAAGATAACGAGAATTACTAATTAATATAAATAATTACTATCAGCAATTAGATTGAATGTTTATAATAAATCTAAAGAAGCCAAAATGAATTGTTAAACATAGAATCTTACTCATAGGTGTATGCGTGATCAGTTTCCGGTGGCCGGTATTTTTCTGTAAAGCGTTAAACCATTTCGCGACGTGCTAATTGACCAACGGAATCCTTTGAACAATTTATATTTTATGAATTTCAAAACAATTCAAATACTAACAATTTCTTTCAATTGGATATTTTTTCACGAGTATATCGTATTTATAACGTGTCGTTTATTCAAAGAGTTTTTCGATGGCTACCGAGTCGTTAAAACAAACCACGCGATCTAGAGAATGTTTAATTTTTAACGTATGGCAACGACGAAACAGAAAACAGATCACGAATCACACACGGTTAAGATTTTCAATTTATTTGTATAAATCGTAAGAGTTTTCTTTGTTGTCGTTAACAATTCTTCGAAAAAAAAGATTCGGGTATAGTTGTAAGCATTCGAGAATATTTATTGATTTTTACAAAGATCATTGTATAGAAAACCATCGCGATTTGGTGAAAAAAGGTTCTGTAAAATATAACGAGATTTAGCAGGATATATTGTAAACGTATCCGAACACCATTTACGAATAAGACCATAATTGACGAACGATATAATATAATAAAGACATATCATAAAGTATTAATTTAATTGCCTGACATTGTAGAATTTATATGTAAATATGTTGCGTGCAACTTGGATAAACATTCCGAGACGATGCAAAGTAGACAGATTATTCGTGACAGGTAGCAACACACCCGGTCTTATCGTATTTATTATTTATAGTAATTCAGATAAGGCTTTCATTACTT